AGTACTGGCGAATAAAAGATACATTCTTAGATGTTTTTGTTAGTACATGAACGTTATCTTACACATTTTATCTCCCCAACAGATTAATTTTAAATAAGTTTATAATGCATGTTCGCTATTCCCAATTCAGAAGACCGCACACACAGCATGTGTCTCTGAATGCTTCTCATACTCGCTCCTCTCTGCCGCGTCTCACGGGAGCCGTTTACACTTGCCGCACACACGCAGCCTGTCTCGTAATGCTCATTTATACTCGCGCGCGGCTCCGCACCGCAAGTCTCCACGAGCGCATCTGGCAGTATGGATGAGGCTTGACGCACGCACACAACCTGTGTCGACTCGCGCCTGGTTCCGCGTTTAAAACGAATGTAAATTTGAAAACATTCAGCACATTTTCCACCACAGCCCTACTATGACCCCAAGAACACCATCCCTACAGTCAAGCACGGAGGTGGAAACATTATGCCTTGGGGCTGTTTTTCTGCTAAGGGTACAGGACGACTTCACCGCATTGAGGGCCAAATGGACGGGGCCATGTACTGTAAAATCTTGGACGAGAGCCTCCTCCTCTCAGCCAGAACACTGAAGATGGGTCGTGGATGGGTCTTCCAGCATGACAATGACCTGAAACATACTGCCAAGGCAACAAAGGAGTGGCTCAAGAAGAAGCACATTAAGGTCAAGGAGTGGCCGAGCCAGTCCCCAGACCTCAATCCTATATAAAATCTGTGGAGGGAGCTGAAACTTTGAGTTGCCTATTGACAATATTGAGCTGAAGCTTGACTTTGCAAATTTAAAATCGCAAATCAAATCGCAATCGCAATATCTGTCAAAAAAATCGCAATTTGATATTTTCCCCCAAATCACACAGCCCTACTATGACCCCAAGAACACCATCCCTACAGTCAAGCACGGAGGTGGAAACAGTATGCCTTGGGGCTGTTTTTCTGCTAAGGGTACAGGACGACTTCACCGCATTGAGGGCCAAATGGACGGGGCCATGTACTGTAAAATCTTGGACGAGAGCCTCCTCCTCTCAGCCAGAACACTGAAGATGGGTCATGGATGGGTCTTCCAGCATGACAATGACCTGAAACATACTGCCAAGGCAACAAAGGAGTGGCTCAAGAAGAAGCACATTAAGGTCATGTGCACACAGTGGCCTAGCCAGTCTCCAGACCTCAATCCTATAGAAAATCTGTGGCTGGAGCTGAAACTTCGAGTTGCCAAATGACAACCAAGAAACCTTAAGGATTTAGAGAGGATCTGTAAAGAGGAGTGGATCAAAATCCCTCCTGAGATGTGTGCAAACCTGGTGACCAACTACAATAAACGTCTTACCTCTGTGCTTGCCAACCAGGGTTTCTGCACCAAGTACTAAGTCATGTTTTGCTTGGGGATCAAATACTTATTTCACTCACTGAAATGCAAATCAATTTCTAACCTTTATATAATGTGTTTTTTCTGGATTTTTTGGTTGGTATTCTGTCTCTATACGTTAAAATAAACCTACCATATATATTACAGACTCTTCATTTCTTTGAAAGTGGGCAAACTTACAAAATCAGCAGGTGATCAAATAAATATTTCCCCCACTGTATATATATTCTTGTTTTGAACATTGGTTAAAATTGATTGCCAATTTGACATTGACATTTTTTAAATTTAGAAATTTCACACTTTTGAATAGTTGACATTTAATTAGGTTGTAGAATATCCTGTAATCTCCAAGTGTTTTCATAATTAATAACATTAATGTTGACACTGTGTACCACAGTGGTGCTAGAAAAAATGTGCTGTAAATTGAACCTACATTCAGAATTCAACTGACAGGTAATTTAAAAATATTTTTTTATTTTTGTTTTCCACATTTATTTACTAATATCATCCAGAAGTCATTCTCTTGGTTTGGTGGGAGTATGTGAACCTCTAGAATTATCAGTTCATTTAAAGTAACGGGGTGTTAAAATTACATAAAAAGCAGGTGTGAATTTGTGAGTTGCTGTGGAAGCCGAGTCTATCAAGGAAACACACAGAATGGTGTGCATGGCAGGATGACAAGGAGAAAGCCACTGCTTTCCAAGAAGACAATGCTGTCCGTCTAAAGGTTTCCAAAGACTCCGTGATTGAGCCAGAAGACTGTTGGCTAAATGATTTGTGGACTGTAAACGGATCTTTTTGGTTTCAATGTTTGGATGTTTTGGTTTGGTTTGGAAGTGTTACATTTGGCAATAAAGAACTAGCATTCAATAAGAAATTTTATCTCAACTCTGAATCACGATGATGACATTGTAATGATTAAGGGCTGCTTTGCAGCTTCTGAATCACAACCTTTGATGGAACTATGCATTCTGCATTGTACCAAAAAGTTTTACTAGGGAATGTCAAGACGTCAGTCTGTAGACTGACACCTTGTGTTAAGGAAGCTCAATGTCAAGCTGAAGACATTTCTCCAATCTAACGTTCAGGACTGATCCAAAGTTTTTGGAAACATTTGGTTGCATTATTGCTTTTCTGAAAGCAAAGGTTCACATACTTTTCAACAAAGAAGTTCATTCTTAGACCATTTTACTTGATAAAGAAGTGAAAATATGCAATGTTTTGTGTTATTTGTTTTGATTAGACTCTCTTTATCAAGTTTTAGGACTTAAATGTTGAGAAAATGGATGCAGAAATAAAGAAACTTTATAAACATTACAAATCTACCACCACTGTAGTGACAGAGTTACTATATACAGCATATTTCATTCACACACAAACACTGTTTGAAGCATAAGTACTTTCGTGCGCCACCTCAACAATTGCAGTAAATAAGGGCCTTTAGACCCCATCACCTGCTCTGGTGATAAAAAGCACCAGTCTCATGCTGTTATCAGCAAAGCATATGTGGACTTCAAAGTCAATAAGCAGTTTGCAGTGTAAAAATATTCAACATGGCTGTTTGACATCTCTTTGTCAGTCAGTGCCGTCACAATTGGTTTAGTTGCAATTGATTTTGGAATTGCCAGTTCTGTAGTAGTGGTTATGTGTAAATAGAGATTGCAGCGTTGTGATCAATACAAAAATAATACCCTTTTCAACACACTGTAAATGTTCACATTTTATATATAATGTTTCTATAGTGTTTATATATATATATATATATATGTATATGTATGTATGTATATGTAGCACAATTAGTGTTAGTATGACTCTTGCTGTGACACGTGCTGTTGTATTTTTTGAAAAACAAAATACCAGCCAAATGCTAATGTTTTTTTTTTATTATTTTTAACTCACCAAGACCCATTTTTATTTTATACCCTGACTGCATCTAAAATACACAAGAAAATGTTAGCAAAAAAATAGAAAGGAAAAATAAAACCTTATTGTCAAGGGGTCTTATTTTACAAGGTTTTTCCACAAGATTGTATTCTAGTGGTGCATTCGTAACTGTGTTTTTCCTTCTTCCATGTCTTTCCATGTAACAGGTTCACCAAACAGCATTCAGAACACTCCCCAGCCTCTCGTTTCTGCAATGCTGGAAGTAAAGAGTGAAGAGATGGATGGGGTAATTGAGCTTCCATCAAGATCATCAACCCCTACAATCAGTGAAGTGTCAGTCAGCAGGTACTTCTGTTTGAAAGCAAACCATTTCCACCCTTGTATTTGGAATAATTTTAGGTGGTAGATACTTCGAGATAGTCCAAATTGAAAATTCTGTCAATTACAAACCTGTATGACATTCTTTCTCCTGCAGAACACAAAAGAGGATATTTTGAACAATATTAGTAACTAAACGGTAGTAAACATTGACATTTGCATGGGCAAAAAAAAAAAAAAAATAACAGTGAGACATTTCTCAATATGTATTTGTTATATGTATTATTTTTATGTTTTAAAATGACATGAGGGTGAGCATAGGGCATGTGAGGCCATACTAAATTGCTGAGCTTTTTGTCTACCAATGCCTTTTAGCTGAATACAGTATGGCATATAGTGCTTTATTGCTTTTGTTTTCTTTGCACACAAATTTTTATTAAAATGTTTTATAAGCAACATTTTTCAACAAGATCTGGTCCCTGACATGTAAAACTGCATTTAGAACCAGCAGTTTAATAAAAAAAAAAAACATTCACTGTACCCCAACTTTGAAACATTTTGTAAATGCATGCACTTTGAAATCATGTGTTTGCTAATTAACTTTCATGTGGAGAGATTTTGTGAGGAAGATCTGTCAGCATAGATAGTCATTCATCATAACAGTATTTATTATTCAGGGCAAGTTAAGTCAGAGAAGTTTAATTTAAGAATTTCTTTCTTTTTTTTAAAATAGTCAAGATGCTTGCAAGATGCGGTCTTTTCATATTTCTTTTTGTTATGCTTAGAATCCATTAGGTATACATCTAACTGTGGTCTTGATAAGTATGCATTTCATTTAGCCACAAAACATTGAATAGATCCTTGGACTTGCTTTGATTTGGCCTGGATTATGTGATGAAATTAATACCATTCAACCACAAACGATTTCAAACCCTAACCTGAGGGCAATGTTCCTACCTGACTTTCTTTCTCTAGTCCACTTCAAATACTACATACGTCCATTAGGGCGGCACAGTGGCTCGGTGGTTAGCACTGTTGTCTCACAGCAAGAAGGTACCTGGTTCCTACCTGACTTTCTTTTTGCAAGGACAGGAGGCCTTTCTGTGTGGAGTTTGCATATTCTCCCTGTGTCTGCGTGGGTTTACGCCGGGAGCTCCGGTTTCCTCCCACAGCCCAAAGACATGCTGGCTAGGTTAATTGAACATTCTAAATTGTCCCCAGACGTGTGTGTAAAGAAAAGACTTGTGTATGGATCGACTTGTGTATGGATTAACTGGTTCTCACCATGAATATAGCCGTAGATGCTGGATTGGCGTGAAATAAACAAACAAACATACGTCCATCCCTAGTATTAAATGTCTCTGTTATTGGAATCCTGTGATTGAGAACACGTTCAGGTGTGGAAACATTGTAAATCATTTCCAGTGCCCCCTCAATGCTCTGTTCCTGACTGTCTTGCAGTTTTTCAAATCATTTCCAGTGCCCTCTCCATGCTCTGTTCCTGACTATCTTGTACAGTTTTTCATTGGCTCACTTCCTCTCTCAGAGCAGATGAGCCAATTTCCTGCTGTTTTTAAAGCAATATTGACAGGTCTTTTGCGCTGCAGTCATCCTGTGAGCCATTTAGGTCAAAGTGTGGGATGCTAACTTTGGCAGAAAGGAACCTGTCAGTCACTGAGGAAACAGATTTGGAGAATTTTTCATTATCTCGCAGGCTTTCACATACTTTGATATTTAGGTGATTGAGAGCTCCTTGTTGTTTTTCTCATTAGAATCTATTCAGAGTCATTTTGTTTCTATTAAACAAAAAGATCATTTGAGCTCACAATAAAATTAGCAGCATAAAGGGCTATGCCATCAATCAAATACAAATACTGTATGCATCAAATGCATTGAATATACAGGGGATGAAATCATAAAATACTTTTGTCATAAAATACTTATATTGAAAATAAGTACTTACCCTATGAAAGCTTTAATGTAATCAGTGGCTGTTGTCCAGTTATAAATTGGTCATGCATTTCGGAGCCTAGCTGTGGCACATTTCAGAATTAAAAAAAAAGTCTTTTTGAGGCAAATCAATTTGGCATTACCTTGAAAATGGTTTTTAGATGCTATCAAGGCTGCCAGTAACACCCGTAGTATTTCTGATCCTGAAATGTACGTTTCTGAATCCACTTAAAATAGTGATACTACTGATAAACATAAACATGGACAAGAAGAAACATCAACCATTATAGACAGTTTTACATATTTTTTCCAACGTTTATTATGCCCCCCTTTTTTTTACATTTACTTACAACCTACTGTGCTTACATGAATAACAAGCCAAGTTCCTTCAGTGTTTTCAATGGCCATTAAGGATGCATTTTGAAATGCCGTCCTTTGTGTCCCTCAAAATGCTTTCTACACTTTGTATGTGAGCAGCTGCTGTGCGTTGCAAAACAATATCCTGGCTGCAATATTTGTTTTACACATCCATTTTTAATGGTGTTATATTTTGGTCCAGTTTTGTATTTTGTTTTGATGCCAGTATTAAATTCTACTGAGAGCTGTCACCAAGAGTCATGTTATTAATCATAATGCAAGACTGTGGAATTTAGTTTAAGGCTAAAATGATGTGTAGAATGTGTGATGAAGTTCATCAAAAGGGGGTCTTTTCATTATCAGTGTGTTTTTGTTGACGGAAAATGTAGACGATGAGCTAATAACTTTTAACCAGATTTCATAAGAATATTCATGCCCGGTCACGCACATCTTAAGACTGAAGAAAGTCATTGAGGGAATTACAAAAATGTAACCTTTGTAAAGAGTTTACAAATGAACTTGAATAATCTTTACCATTTTTAAACTGAAAAATTTATCACATACTCACTTGTTTGCTTTCTCAAGTGTCGCCCTCATTGCATGGCTCTACATAGCGGCCTTTGTAAGGACACAGCATTTATATATGTAGATTAATGTGATAAGATGTTATGTGCACATGCCTGCTTGGCTCAGGGGCACTATAATTTGATTTATTTGTTTTATTAATTTGTAGAAGGCCTCCAGTAACAGATGTTCCTCGTTGTGTCTTTAGAAAATGGGTGGACCGTTTTAACAAGGTGAATGATAATGAGATATGCATTTTCATTTGCGCTGTATTCGTTGGCTTGCCAGACAAATCTATACATTTATGTATACACTAGTCAACATTTGAATTGGATCAAAACCTTTCATCAAAGTTGTCCTAAAACCAAAATGCGTTCTTGTCTTAGGACAACTTTGATTAACTTTTTTGATCCACTTCAAATGTTGACTACTGTATACAGTGGCATGCGAAATTTTGGAAACCCCTTGCAGAATCTGTGAAAATGTCAATAATTTTAACAAAATAAGAGAGATCATACAAAATACATGTTATTTTTTATTTAGTACTGTCCTGAGTACGTTGAGAGACACATTGATACAGAAGAACATCGTCCTCAGTGTAGAGACTACAGATGAAATCAGCTCTGACTGAAAGTGGTATTTCACATGATATGCTGAGCTGGTCATCATCATCACTAACACTGATGAAGGGTTTCAGAAGTGCATCTGTTTAAAGACAAATGATCCAGTTACTAAAAACACTACCATAACAGTTTCCAAATCACAAGAACAGCAGTGAAATGTTTACAGGCACATATTTTGGGGTTCTAAAAACCCAAATAAGACAACTGCTGATTATATGCAATTATATACAGTGGCATGCGAAAGTTTGGGAACCCCTTGCAGAATCTGTGAAAATGTCAATAATTTTAACAAAATAAGAGAGATCATACAAAATACATGTTATTTTTTATTTAGTACTGTCCTGAGTACGATATTTTACATAAAAGATGTTTACATATAGTCCACAAGACAAAAAAAGCTGAAATTATTAAAATAACTCCCTTAAAAAGTTTGGGAACCCTTGGTTCTTAATACTGTGTGTGGTTAGCTGTATTCTTGTATTCTAGGGATTAGTTTGTATATGCTTATTAAAATATTGCAGACCATGAACCGCATATGTTTCAAGATACTGTACTTGTCATTAGAACTTTGCATACTGACATTGAGTTTTTGCTGTAAAAATGAGATTGTTTAAATGATTTGTTTACGCCTAGAGCGCTATTCTAGGGAATGTCCTCTGTTCTTTACTACTTTTCAACTTCTCTCCCAGTTTGTTAAATCTTACAGATGAAGTCTTACTTATAAAATAATTTAGGATAGGATAAGAGAGTGTATATTCCTTTTTTTTTTGTTGTTTAAAAAGTTTTTGGTTTCGTTTCTAATTATTGTCAAGGAATGTCTGAAATCCCAGCTTTGTGGCATTTATTCACTCAGAAGTTATGTATTTGAGTGCTTTTGTTGAACTGTGACATTGAGGTGATTCACAGGTGTAGAACCAATCAAAATGCTGGAGGTAGGAAGAGGTTTTGAAGTTCTTCTCCCTTGAAGTTTCAGTGGTAACATGACCTCTGTGTGTCTTGTGAATCAGCAGGAAAATGCCACTTTACCATTTCTGTGGTCTTTGTTATAAGAGGAGCTGTGTGGCTCCAGGTGCATAAAATGAACCAAAAATATTCGTTTTGCAATTTAATAATCTTGTTATTTAATAATCATGTTATAAGCATAGCAGTTTCAGTGAAATTTTACCCAAAAAAAAAAAAAAAGAATTTCAGAATTTTTGGTATTTGATGTGGTCCCTTCTCTTGCTTTGATAAGAGCAGTGAATCTGTGGAAGCAAGAAATTTAATCTTTTTTTGTTCATACAGGAGTTTGATCAGTTTCTGTCCTGTCTTTTTTCCCTCTTGTAAATTTCGTGCAGATTAATTTTAGCTCTTCTGTCTCTGCTTGATCCCTGAATTTAAAACAAACTTTAGTTTAAACAGTGACAGAATGTATTACATCCCGTTTTTCTTATTCAGGGCAGAAACCGATGCGTGTGGCTCCCTTGTTGTGGTTTTGTTTTATGTGTCGTTAATACATTTGGCTTCTTCTCTTTTTCTTGTTTTCTCTCTTCC